GCAGGAAGCTCTCCACACACTCACCGGACCTGGACTAGGACTGGGTCTGGGAGTTCCCGGAAGTCGGCAGAATTTCCTACTCGGCAGGAGGGGTGGGGAGGTACGGCAGAGGGGTGTGGGGCGGCCCAAGGGGCTGGGAGAGGGTCCGGCCCACGCTGCCTCCTGGGCTGGGACTGGTCCCGCTGGCGCAGGGTAGCAGGAAACTCTCCGCACACTCACCGGACCTGGGCTAGGACTGGGCCATACTCTCAAAATTGTTATACAGATTCAATACAATCCCTATCAAAATACCATTAACATGCATCACAGGCCTAGAGAAATCATTCCTAAAAATTATTTTAACCAGAAAAGACCTAGAACTACAAAGGCAATCCTGGACACGAAAGGCAATGCAAGAGGCATTACAATTCCGGACTTGAAATTACACTACAAAGCTACTGTGATAAAATCAACATGGGATAGCAAAAAATAGACTTGAGGATCAGTGGAATAGATTAGAAGATGCAGAATCCCCTACAAACACACACAGCCACCTTGTCTTTGACAAAAGGGACAAATACGCTTACCGGAAGAAAGATATCCTCTTTAACAAATGGCACTGGAAACCTGGCTCTCTACATGCCTAAAACTAAAAGTGGGCCCATGTCTATCACCATGCACTAAACTAAAGTCAAAATGGATTAAAGACCTAAACACTAAAACAGAAACACTAAATCTCCTGGAAGAGAAAGTAGGAGGAACTCTTGAAGACATAGAGCAAACAGTTCATGAACAAAAATGAAACTGCAAGGGTAATACTTGACAGAATTAACAACTGGGACCCCTTTTTCTTGAGAAGTTTTTCCACTTCAAGAGAAATTACCAACAGAGTAAAAAGACAACCCACAAATTGTGAAAAAAAAATCTTAACTAATGAGCACTCAGACAAAGATCTTCTCTCTAGAATTTATATAAAACTAAAAACCCAATCCAGAAATGGACATCTGAGATGAACACACACTTCTTAGAAGAAGAAATCCTAGACGCTAATAAATGCATGAAAAAAAGCTCAACATCACTATCCATCCATGAAATGCAAATTAAAACAACACTGAGATAACTTCTCACCCCAGAAAGAATGGATATCATAAATAAATTTAACTAACAACAAATTTTGCAGAGATTAAGGAACCCTTCTCCACTGCTGGTGGAAATGTAGACTGGTGCAACCATTATGGAAATCAGTATGGAGATTACTTAAAAAAACTAAGACTGGTAATTGCATTCAATCCAGCTATCTCACTTTTGGGAATTTTCACAAAGAAAAAACTGAAAACTTCATATCATAGTGATATATGTGCACCTATGTTTACAGCAGCACAATTTGTGATAGCCAAATCTTGGAAACAACCAAAATGCCCATCACCTGAGGAATGAATGAAAAAGTTGTGGTGTTTTTATACAATAGAGTATTACTCTACTATAAAGAATGGTAAACTCAAAGCCTTCATATATAAGTGAATGCCACTTGAAGATATACTCATAAGTGAAATAAACCCGACTCACATGTAAATATCATATAATCTCCATAATAAAAGAACTCAAAAAATAAAAATAAAAATTGAAAGGTATGACATAACTAAATGGAAAGTGAGAACTTAAGGATTAAACAAGGAGAGGGCAAAGAGAAAAACTAGGAAACATGGCAGGGCAAAACCATACATTTATATACACAAGATGGTTAAGGCAATGATCCTGAGAATCTTCATCAGGTTTTTGAAACTAGCAGTTAATTGGTAGGATTCTCACCTTGACTAACTGTATATGCTGATATTTGTGAACTAAGCAACTGCACCAAGGATAGCAATGTGTAATACTAGGGCCATGCTTGGTATTCCTGTCATTCTTGTCTTCTAAATGTGTAATGCTTCTAATGTCATATCGATTACTGTTATACTCTCTCTCAAGTAAATGTATGTTTTAAAAAAAATAAAAGAAAACAAGAGACAAGAAAAAATGTCATAAGACTGTCCTGCTACAATGCTGTATATGGTTAGATTTCTAAATTTCTGTGTAATAATGTGTTACACAGAAATTATGTTACACAAAAATAAATAATAAATTATTTGTCATAGATTTTTCTCTATATCCTGGGATTCTGCAGTACTGTATAGTATACATATATTGTTAAAATTACAAAAAGAAATTACATAGGTTTACAAGTTTAGAAAATGGCTAAAAACATTAGAGGGGTTTTTTTAAAGTGTGAGAAATGCTTATAAGAGTGTGGGAAGGGCTTATAAAGTCTTAAAATATACATAAGTACTAAAATAAATATAGCATCACTGCAATGCTAAGTTTCACTAGCATGAGGGTGTCTGTGACGCAAACTCTCTGATAACTGAGGGACCACTGTACTGTGCTTATACTAAGTCTTCCATAATCATTTGGTTCTTAATAATTTATTTTTTAAAGAAAGCACTTTAATTATCCTGGGTGGTATATCAGTGTTTGCACTTTCTATCTCTGTGTCCTCCTGTTGCACTGAACATGCTACGGTGGCATATTGGCTGTACTTATAATTAGGGTTGGAAAGATAGTTAGATGTTTATATACTCTTACATTTCTTAAATAGACATGAGTTTATAGTTAAAGATTCAATATAGTTTCTTACCCATCTATTTACGTATTTACCATTCCGATGAGTAATACCTGTTTGAGGAACGGCACGTATGCTACAGCCAGGTTCCAAGTGTGAGTGGCTCCTGGTGCATTTGTTTGGGAACTTTGTTGTGATGTGTTGTGCACACACTGCCTCAGTATGTGAGGTGTGTGAATTTGTCTGTAAAGAGGGTATTGTGCCGTTTATCATTCCATGATTTGCATATGTACATAAATATTTTAAGGTATCTATCATATATATTTTATTTTCGAATTATGCTCACCTTGGTTTCATATGCACTTTCTTTCCCTTTGAGCAGTCTCCAGCCCAATTTTCGCTACCCTGAGCTTTTATTCATCTTTTCTTCTATGTCCATTATTGACCTCAGTCGTTTCTTCCATTTTGGTGCTACTTTAATTCATCTTTTCTTTCTAGTTTACTTTATTTTTCTGTCTTTTACTGAACTTTTAAAGATTATATTTTGCCTTTTAGTATTCCATCACATTTCCCCTGTCTTTTTGATTTGTAGTTGAGATCGGTTTATTGAATTTCTTGGTAGTGTCACACCAGACCTTTTCGAAATTCCTTTTTTTTTTTTTTGGTGGAAGCAGGGATTGAACATTGAACTCAGGCCCTTGTGCTTGCCAGGCAAGCACTTATTCTACTGAGCTATCTCCCCAGTCCCCCTTGTGATTCATTATTAAGCAGTTTTGTTTTTCTTATTGCGTTTGTTGCTTGAATACACAGACATTTTGTGGGTTCTGTGATGGCTTTCTATGAGCAATGCCCATCTTTGCATGAAGTGAGCCACTAGTACACCTGCAATTTACAGAAAGTACTCCGGGAGGACAGGCCAGGGCCAGTTCCAGACTAACAGGAATCACCCAGTAAATCATTCTTCTGTTCTGTAACTAGGCCAACCCCAGGAATAGCACAGCACAGGGATTCATAAATCACAGTGGTCTGTTGTTTTTTTTTTTTATCTCATCCCAAATTGTAGCTGATGTGAATAAACCACTGTGATCGCCTTGGCTACAAGACAAGGTGTATACACACTTGGCTAAACATTAGTCTGGATATGTTTGTGAGAATGTTACTGAAAGGGATTAAGATGTGGATTGGTTGACTGAGGGAAGCTGACTGACTGTCCGCATGTGAGGAGGCCTATTCCAACAGTTGAAGGCTTAAGTACAATCACAGGCCGAATAAATGCATATCCCTCCTCTGGGACTGACT